ACTAACGTACAGGTGTTAGATTGGCCATCTAAATCACATGATTTGTCACCGATTGAGCATGTCTGGGACGTTCTTGGGAGACGCGTGAGAGAACGTCAAAATCAGCCGTCAAACTTGCAGGAGCTGGCCCAAGCCTTGATCGCTGAATGGAACATCTCTCCTCGAATTATCCGCCGGTTTACGAGTTCTATGCGACGACGCTGCAATGCTGTTTACTTCGCAAACGGTGGCCATATCCGTTACTAATGTTGTTACCTTTGAAATTGACCCCAACGTCCTTTACAGTCGAATAAAATCAACTGAACACAAAGTTTTATAATGAACCATGAGAGCAGTTTTATCAGAATTGATCAATTACTTTATTCGTACATGATTGGTAAGGATTTATGAAGGGGTTAATTAATTAATCACAGAATAAAGTAGTGTTACCTTTCTTTTTTTGTTTAGTATATATGGTGAAACCCAAGACAGATATCCCTTGCGTACAAATATAATTTTTGATCCCCCATTGTGTCTCACAGTAAATTATTATGAAAGTTTCTTTCCATGCATGTTTAATGAGATTAAAAGACTTGCCCCAGATATTAGTAATATCCATTCCACATCTCAGTTGAAAAGGTTATTGAACAATAATCAATATGTAGACTCTGAAACAAATTATGCTTTTAAATTCCTAGGTTATCGTGATACAAACATTATACTGTGCCAGTTAAGAAATAACGCTAGTAATCTTAACTATCTTTTCAAAGATTATCTAATAGAATCGCCAATGTGTGAGTGCGCTCAGTCTTATGAAACTACCCTACACTTCTTCTTTGAGTGCAATAGATATACCGATATTCAACAGACCCTTCGGCAGAACTTGAATCATGACACCCATAATCATTTATGTGAAAAGGTCTTATTACATGGTTGTGTTCTTTGTAATGATATACAAAATAAAGTCATCCTATCTCATGTTTCAGATTTTATTTCACGTTCTAAAAGATTCCCATTTTTCGATGCCTAATTTACAACCATTCTAATGATGCATGACTTTATTTCCACAACGAAGAATTTTCTAATTGAATGCGGTATTGTAAACATCCTATATGTACTTTTAGAAATTACTATTTATCAATTAAACCCCCAGGTTGACTACTACTATAGCAATACTACACATACTTGATGTATTAGTATTACTTATCTCTTACATTTTCCCTCCTATACTAGAATTAGATACAATGTAAGTTTAGTCTGGGCAGCTAGATGGCTACTATGACTTATGTAACTATATGAAGTAACTCCTTATTTAAATAAGCAATTTTCATATTATGAATAACACTTGTTGTAACCTTACTATCAAACTATGTACATTTATTTGTTGAAATTGGGTTTTAAACCCAAACAATGTTGGCCAGTGTTGTGCATAGTGACTTTGTGTGGCCTTATCTGCTGGGAGAAAAATCTAATTTCAACAAATATTTTAACTCCTCAAGCCAAAATTAAGAATATGAAACTAACTCATACGTGTTCATCTTGATTAATGCTCAAACTCAATAGTCATAACATTGGGTTACTTCCTAATATAATCCTGAATTAGTTTGTTTATGATAAGGAGTTACTTCCCCTCATGTCTTTTTTTCAACAAAAAAATATATATATATATATATGTGTGTGTGTGTTTGTGTGTGTGTGTGTGTGTGTGTTTGTTTGTTTGCTTACCACAGGTTGTCACCTGAAGGAGAGGACTTAAATAGGCAATGCCTGATGTCCAATTCCTTTTGACATTTGTCAATAAAATTTGTTGAAATTGAAATTGAAAAGAAGACCCTACTAGTTAGAGACAATTATATATAAACTCCTCGGACAGCGATACGGACAGGTCTACTCCAAGTAAGCAAGTTATAGCATAGTACGAGCAGTTCAAACCTAACTGTACTGGACTCATGTACTGTAAATAAATTAAAAATATTAGTGTTAAATGTTTGTGGTATTTTGAAAAAAAATGCAATACCCTGAATTTTTGGAGTTTGTAAATAGTTTTGATACCTTTGTTTGTGAGAGACAAACACAGACGATTTAAATGTTATTGACTTACCTGGTTTTGTTACTAAAATGAAAAACCGTTTTTATATTAGGAGAGTTAAATCTGGTGGAATAACACTAGCATACAAATATGTGTTAGCAAATAATGTGCATATGACTGATAGTGACTGTAAATATGTAAGCTGGTCTAAGATCAACGGAAATACATGTAATTGTAACGAAGATTTCCTGTTTGATATAGTATATATTTCTCCTGAAAACTCGAAATATTTTACAGGTGACCCATATTTTGAGCTAGAAAATGAATACCTACATTTTGCAGCCAATTGTAAATATGTATGTTTATTAAGCGATTGTATTGCACGAACCTCAAATGCAGCTGACTTTAAAGATGATTTTGATGAAAATGATGACTTAACCACAGTACACTATTGCTTGGAGTGAAAAATAGTACTCCTTGTTACATGGTATACGGGGAATTAGGTACATATCTCCTAGAATTTTCAGTAAAAACTAATATCATACTGATCATAGTTAATCAAATGTAAAGAAACAAAATTGGGTTTTATTCTGTATAAACTTTTATATCTATATATGGAACTCTAAATATGCGTTGACATTTAATCCTAAGTGGTTAAAGAACACTGTGAAATAAAGACTTATTGACCAGTATTTGTAAAAATGGAATAGTGATGTATACAATTCCTCAAAAGCTATATGTTATAGAATTTCCAAAACAAAAACAAAATGTTATTTCGAATAATATTTGGATAATATAGATGAAAAAGAAATAATTACTCTTTGTAAATTTCGTACTACTAACCAAAAGTATATTGTTGAAACCGGAAGATGGCACGGTATTGAGTATGAAGAAAGGAAATGTCCATATTGCGATCGAGGGGATATTGGTGATGAATTTCATTACTTACTCCAATGTCTTTTTTTCTTTAATAACTGAGTTTTATATATTGATAAATACTTCTGGTTCAGGCCTAACACTACCAAGTTTAATAGATTTATGAACATTACTGATGTTAAAACATTAAAGAAACTATACTTTTATAAGAATGATTAATACCACTATTTGTCCTCCCTAATGACTAGCCTACCTATTGTACTTTACTAGACAATAGACATCACTTGTGTCTTATTACCAGCATTATTAACAAAATATCATATATTGACTTGGAACACTACTCTGTTTGTAAATATTATTGTAAATATGTTTCTCTGTACAATCTATTTTGTGAAAGAGAATAAAATTGAATTTAGTAGCTGAACTTGACTTGTTGTCTTACAATGGCAGGACCAGGCGCTGAACGAACTACTTTAGACATTGGGGCCACTGCAAATGAACATGGACACTTTCTTTCACAACGGCCAATCGCTCATACCCTTTCACACTGTGACACTGTCAGTGCTTCGGAATAGGAAAAAGCACAGTCATCAAAGTTCTCAAGTGTGATATAGCTCTGCAGAAATTGGGTGTGCAATCTGAGGACATGGGTGACATCATTCAAGAAGCAACAACATTCATGGCTGCGCGCTACGGGGTCAAAGGCTCGGTCACTTCGAACATGTCTGAGGCCCGGGGAGAGCTCTGGTCAAGAAGGTTGGGCAGACAAACGTAACAAAGGCCCCAGAGCGTAAGTCACTCCCACCATCCCAAGAGGCATTCAAAGAGAATATAAAGCAGGCGCACATCCAAACTGCCATTTGGAAGTACCCGTACCCGTTCACTCCAGTAACAATGCAACCAGACGTCAGTCTTGCTCCACCGGAGGTGCTGGAAGCGATAAGGTGTGGTTGTGATACGGATAATCCCTGTTCGACAACAATGTGTGGATGCTACAAAGCTTACATGCCATGCACAACGTTTTGTGTATGTCACGGGGAAGTACACTGCCAGAATGAGCACACCCGACGTGTTGATGACAGTGACAGTGTTTATGACTTGTTTGGTCACTGACAACATGCACCAACACAAGTAAAGTTGATTGTCCATTCTATGCACAAAATATAGTTGTGACCAATACTGGAATGGCCTTATGCGATGCTTTACCCCTAGTAACATAGGTATGAACATGAAAATTATTTTGATTCCACGTGCAATTATTGAGATATTGACAAAAACAATATTTTCAGTAATGGCGGCCTTCATTTGCATATTCTTCGGATTGCTCAAGGATGATAGAGTGGCATCACACAGATTCTTGAAGATCACAATTCAGAGGAATAGAAACAGCAAAAAAAAATTATACGGAACGCATTGCAAGTTTTTTTTTTCAAAAACTTTAGTTTGGCAACCGGACTAAAATATGAGTGAGGAGAGATCCTTTCAGTAAATAACAATTACAAATTTTTATTGTCATAACTTAAAATGGCAGCCTGTCACACATTTTGTATTTTTCAATTAGTATGAAAATTGGCAACACCCTTCTAGGATCTAAGGGGAACCTACATAGAAATATGAAATTTGAGAATCCTCTACCGAAAGTATACTAGAGCTGTAACAACTTATATGTCCACTTATCAGGTACTTGGTCTTTCGATCAGTTTTAAAAAGGACTATACACAAATAGGGACCAAGGGAAAGCTATCAAAAAATTCGAGAATGATTCATCAGACATTTCCTCAGAAATCGCAGTGATAAACTATGATTGTCGAAACCCGAAATGACTACCTGTCGATCATGTTTTTCCCAGTCAGTTCCAAAACATAGAGTCCACAACTACAACTAGAGGTCAAGAGGGAAAACATTAGAACTATGAGAATGAGTCATCCAGTAATTCTTCATCGATGTAGCGACAATTGAATTAAAACACAAAACATTTCAAAATTAATCAATAGTTTGTATACCTCATGTGAATATTTCCTGTTGTGTGTTTTCATTTCGCTCAATCTATTACGATTCCTTACCACCAAGCGATACCATTGTGTATATCCTGTTTGGGATACTCAACAAGTCTATGTTATCAGATGTTTAAAGTGCTTTATTAGGTTCCTTTGATATGTACAATCCCGTCTGGTGTTATACAAAAATATGTTATCGCATAGTATGCAGTTCAAGATTCCTGTCGTTTTGATTGTATCACATCCTCAGGGGTGAGTTCACATAGCCTCCAGGGTTTAGTGTTTGCACTCTGCATGACAATATCAACATAGGAACAATTGTTACAAACACATTCTATATCACAGTAGGTGATGGTTGCAGCAGAATTATGAGACACGATCTTACAAAATTCTACATAGGAGTCGATGCTGCCGTTGTTACTATCGGCGGGTTTGGAGGTTCCGACCTGAAGGACAACGGTATACAAGTTTAACAGAAATAACAAACAGAAATATTCATTCTGTTGTAAAGGCTGCAGATGTCTTGGGAGAAAGAAATTCATATTGAATGGGTACACAGAATTATCATAGAATACTGTATAATCATATTTTCGTGAGGCTGAAATTTCGCGGTTTTTTTAAATTATAGATTTTCGTTTGTAACTCGAGGTGAAATATCGCTCATGTTATTCGCTAGTATTATAATCCATGTCAAAACATCGTAAATGAGGAGTTTTCATGAATTCAACAGAAATAAATCTCCACGAAAATTAGTGGATCTACGATAGCCTGTCTGTTGATATTTGTGAATAAGAGGGTCATGATCGACAATCGATGAATGGATGGACTTATCCCAGAATTTGTCTATGATGGTCTGACAAATCTGATGAATTCCCAAGATGATATTTCATATTCTAGACCAAATAAGATTCAAATCCATTTAAGCATTAAGGATGAGTAGCACTTTTAAGCAAAATCTTTGACTAAGTTTCCTATTTGTCCCAAGGAATTAACTTTCTGAATTGAAGAAATGATTTGCCACTCCCAATAATATTTCAGACCAAATTTGGTTGAAATCCATTTTAGCATTAAGAAAGAATAACATTTTGAACCATAACATTGTCTAACTACCCCAGGTCCCTAAGGTCAAATTCTAAGGAATGATAACCCAACTGCTGTAATGGTTCAGGTCCATTTGGTTGACATCTACCGAGGTATTAAGAAGGAGTAGCGTTTTGAAGCAAAAATATTACTGAATATCTCCTTTTCGGGCCCAAGCCATTAGTCCCATTAGACAAACTTCTGATTTAAGAAATAATTGCCTACCCTAACTGATTAATCAGGTCAAAGCTTGTTGAAATCCACCTAGACAAAATGAGGAGTACGGTTTTAAAACTTATTACAGCACCTCACACTTTGGGGCCCTATGCCTCGACCCCTAGGGGTCAAATCAAATTTTAGAATTTAACAAATGATAACCCTTATGCAATTATCAGACCAAATTTGGTTGAAATCCGTCCAGGTATGAAAGAGGAGTAAGGATGTAAAGAAAGAGTTTACGTACGACGCACGGCGACAGACGAAGCACGATGGCTAAAACGCCATTTTTCATCTTTTCATAAAAAAATCCCCAAAACAACAATTGAAAAAAACACCCTTACAGATTACTTAAAATAACCTCTATCGCACCCACATAGCTTATAGTTGTTATTTTCCCGATCATTCTCGTCATTAGAATGAATGTCTTCGTGTAGGATCATTCCTCTGTGATTCCTTGCAATTTTCGAGACTTAAACGACGTGAATTCAATGTAAATTTCGACAATAAAATGTGTTACGACAGGAATTTAATGCAGATATTGTATTGACACCTACAAACTATTATGATGTAAATTCAATGTAAATTTCGACAATAAAAATGTATTACGACAGGATTGTAATGCAGATATTGACACCTAAACATATGAATTCAATGTAAATATAGCAACGAACTCAACAACTTACTTGTATACTTTTTTGTCCAATACGTGTACACTCTATGCCTTCACCTATAGCATGAACTACAAATTTCTGTGACGTCACACCGAACAGACTCATGTTTTTAATCCTAAGCCACAGCATTGAGGGGAAATCTCCTGGGACGGGAAGATCAAAGCACGTGTTTATGTCCTGGTCCAGGGCATATGGTAACATCCTCAACATGACCTTGTTATCATCATTTACAATGGTAACGTAATCCAACACTGAAACATAAATATATATTATGTATATTTAAATTCCTAGTTAACTCGTTTTTATGTTCGCTATATTCAACTGTACTTCTATGATCAGAGCTTTCATTTTTTCCATTTAGATTAAAACGTATACTGTATGGTCATATATTTTCGATGGGATCTATTACCTTGGTCTTCAAACAATTATTATTTCCTTGGACTCCTGACTTCGTAGAAAAATACATTTTAACATATCTGCTAATAATTTTCGTAGTCATATGAATTCGTGGATAAAAGATGCCCCGAAAATTACCGAAAATAAATCCTATGGAATTTCGTGGTTTTACAATATACTATAACTCGAAGTCATATAAACGTTTGGTATACTTCAGTGTAATGTGTTAACGTTATCAAGAGAATGAAATTCATACAGACGTGGAATAAATCCATTTTCCTTGATAGCAATAATTAGTTAAATATGTTGAATTACATGTTTAGAATTTTAATGTTTTTATTCCTTTACAGAGTAATCATGATGGTCTTTTTGATTCATAATTTATATAACTTTTATAGGCTTAATACTCATATAGAATTCATGTTGGTCTTTCAATTTTCATCTTTGTTTTTTTTAGATGAATATTTAAACCATTTATGCTTTTAAGCTATGCTATATAAAGAAATCATGTCTTTCTTTTCAATTATGTTTGTCATATTTGAACCATGTCCTTGGATGATAATGTTATCTGCTGAATGTTTGGACTCCAATCATATCCGTAATGTAACGTCACTTTATGTATATTTATGATATTTATCTGTATTGTGACGTTATTTGATGTTTATGTGTCTTCTCTGTATTGTGACGTTCATATTGTATTTATTGATTTTATCTAGTTATACTTACGTGGTGACCATACAGCGGTAACGCCACATATCACATCGCAAGGACTTGCCGAAAAGGAGAAATAGGCGATGACTTTAGGAAACTCAAGCCTGTACACATCACTGCCTTTATTCCACTGTATAAACAAGGATATTGATAAGATGTTTCCATATATATATTTTTATATCAATGTTCCCGCGCCATAAATATTTTTACTTTCATTATTCCCATTAATACATATCTTGTTGGCAGTATTCTCATATTTTAATATTTTTGTTTGTTTTTTAATTGTTCCCACGCAAGACCTATTCTTTTTGTATATTTTCAAAAGAATTACATAATAAAATATAGACAAGTCACCAGAATCAAACAGAATTAAAACTCAAATGCGATTTAACGAGGGTAAAGTATGAAAAAGGAGATAATTGGAAAGTGAATAGGAAAGAGTGTTCTTTAAAGGTTAGAGTCTTCTGCTTCACCAATTACTGTAAATCTTTGTCAACGTGAATAGACAATATCATATTCCAAAAGGAGGAATTAGAGCTGTCCGATTATAGATATAGCAACAACAAATCTACGAACTTACCACGAAGACCTCCAGATGATAGTAAGAGGTACAACATCGTACCTGAAAACTGAATGAGTAACTTACCACTACTGCCTCGCGATGGTAGTAAGAACCATTTTGACTGTAGAGGTACGCAAGGTTGCTGGGATTGACGTCAGCAGCTTTTGTGATTTCTGTCAGAACTATAAAATCGGGATAATACTCCTGAAATGAAAATCTCAAAATTAAAACAACAATATTTACACTGACTAAATCGATGAAACGAAGACAAAATATACTGGACTCCGTAGAAATCGTACATTTTCACGTGAAAATTTTTAATATCAATAATATAAAGTTGTGAGTGCTAATGATGAAATGACGTTTTTTTTTTTTTTTGTTCCCTCCCGACACTGTTCTCACCGACACATGCCCAATAAGTAAAATCGTGAATTCTGCACGTGCAATCACGGGTGTTGCCAATACTGGTGAGTTTTCAAAGAGACGTGTCCTTTGTAAAGTGGTGAGTCACAAAAACATTCATTCAGCGAAGGTAGCGAAACATGATGCCACGATTAACACAATTGCAGAGAGGAATGGCTCTTGGAAGTTTGCAGGCGTGTACCTCTGTCACTGTTATAGACAGGCGCTTGGAATGTCATGTTAGCACTATTTTGTTGGACGCTTCCAACATAGAGTTCTGTTTCTGATCGTTCCCGAACGGGGAGACCAAGAGCGACAACTCAGTCCGATGATCGCTACATCCGGGAAACTCACCTTCGTAACCGGAACCAGAACAGCAACTGCAATCAGAGGTAGAAGACGACCAGTGTCTCTCGGGACCGTCTGGCGTCGCCTACGTGAACATGACATTAACTGCTGACGTCCTTATGTAAGACCTATTCTCACCACTCGTCATCGACAGCAACGTCTTTAATGGGCAATGAATCATTAATGATAACTTCTGGTTGATTGGCGACGATTTCTCATCTCAGACGAGTCTCAATTCCATCTTTCCCATGCTGATTGCCGATTGCGTGTGAGGCGTTGACGTAACGAACGTTACGCCGATTGGTGCGTCATACAGGCAAACATATAGGGTGGCGGCGGTGTGGCGGTATGGGAAGCCATCAGTTACCACCATCGAACACCTCTTCACGTCTTCCGTCAACGTGATACAGGAGTGGTGTACAGGGATAATGTTCTCAACCTTACGTCGTTCCCTTGTTTGCTGAACAGCCGCAACTACAGTTTTACCAGCAGCATAACGCCCGTCCCCACAATGCCCGAGTACCTATGGGTTTCTTTGCACCGTATAATGTGGATGTCCTCCCTTAATTTAATAAAATTCAGTTTCTGTTCTTGATTTCTAACAGTATATATCAAAAACGATTATCATGGGGACCCTGATAATATAAAGAGAAAAAGACCAAGAAGTGGGAATGGTATCAATTTTAATTTTTAAAATAAATTGCTTATTTGTTGATTGGATAAAAATTTGAGCTTGTAAACCAATAAGAGATCACAAAAGATCTTTGTTTTGTGCAACTTTCCGCTCTTTCCTATTAGCGAAATGATGATAATTTGATACTTTCAAATCCAAGTTGGTTGCCTATCGGCCAGTTTGATATTATTGTTAGTCCTGAAATCAAATGACAAAACTAACGAACCTTCATATTACAGAAAAAAAATTCCAGGATTAATCACACCATGCATAACTCAGGATCGAAGGGGACCTCTATGTCAAATTTTGAAAAGATCCAGTCAACACTTCCCATGAAATAGCGATACCATTTTTTTATTGACAATATCAAAGGTGGCCACCCTTTGTCCATTTGTTTTCAGATCTGTCCCGAAATGAGACAATGCACGACTATGAACCAAAGGGAACCGATCTAGGAATTCTGGGAAATATCCGTCTCGTCCTTCTCAAGAAATAGAGATCACAGATTTTCATAGAAAATACTGAAGATGGCCACCTATCGGCCATTTTGTTTTTCGTATCCGTCCCATTTTGGGATAATTCACTACTAGGAACCAACATATGAAATTTGAAAATGATCTTTCTTGTCTTCTCATAAAAAATGACAATACGAATAATTTAAGGACAGATGGGCGGACGACACACGAAATGTGATTGATCAGTCAACCATCTGGTGATGCACTAAAAACAGCGTTATCACGTTTTCTAGGTCATTATTACTACGTCAGTGCCACTCGATTACTTCGGAATGCAAGAGGAAATTTGTTGGAAATTTATTTAAAAGCATAAAAAATATCTGTTATTCACAAATTACACATCACAAACACATTAAAGATAAGAGAAAATGGATTTCTATCTGTAACCCTATTCTGGACCGGTAAAAGAAGGAGAGTAACAAACGAACTTGGTGCTTTTGCATAAGTTTCGAAGATTTCAAAACACATCACCAGAGCAAAAAACTTTCAAACTTTTTCATAGAGTGTTACAGATCGATTAATGAATTACTTTCCAATTGTCGCGGTTTTAATCAATACTTTAAGCGAGTTTACGTTAAACATACTTAATCATAACAATCATAAAGGACGGCACTTTTTACTGTTCATTCAACCGCTACGGAGAGACCAAGACATTTCTGAAAAGGGTCCCATTTCAGAGAACACAACGAAAATCCTGTGAAGATTTTTTTTTCCGGAAAGCATCATTTGGACTATGTCATTGATTAATTTTTCTTTATAGAACTATCTCTCGACTTTTATCCAGTGTCGGAACAAAAAAAAACATTGACAATATTACAATTCATGCTTACGATAGCTGGTCGATGTATTGGTATTTTCCCTCTCCATACTGTTACGTTGTTACTGACGATACTGGCTTCAAAATGCAGCGGAGAATTATTGATATGTAAACTGTCGTTAATATAAGTCACAATCATAACCAGCTTGACATGGTGAGAATTAACTTTTCCATTATGCACGGAGGAGTCAATCAAAGTAGTAAATTCGTCATGTACTTTCCCGATCATTCCGTCATCTCGCCTGAAATAGTAAAGAGAATAGTAAAATGCTCTGAAATGTATTTTGAGTGATTCTTTTTAAATTCTTGATCTCACCTGTAATACAGTTGAAGGGAAAGGATAAAATTTTTTAAAAAATGTTTTCTCGGAAATCACTGCTGCATTACGTCTCAATACTATAGCATGGGACCGCTGTAGAATATCATTCCATGTATCAACACCTGATATTATAACTTACTGTAGGGTATTACAAGCATATTGAAAATTCTGGAAAAGGGTCTGTTGTGAGGAGTGTCTACAATCGCACCCTAGAGATCCTTCTGTAGTTAGTTTTTTATGAATTAGGAATTGAATTAGTTACGCTTTTCCTACCTTGTAATTATTGTGTTCCTTCGAGAAGACACACCACGTCCCTCTATTATTTCTCCAAAGGAACACAACATGAAGGCCTGCCCGGCAGATTCTGTGGGCATTGGCATCTCCACTAGCATACGGCCGTAAGATTTATCAGACTCAGTGTGCATTTTTAGATATAGTTTAGTGCTGGCTGTTACGGACGGACATGCTTCCATGAGTTTAATACAATCGGGTATCTATAAAGTGAAGAAGCATCATACTAGCGTTAGATAATGCGTGAAAATAATCCAGTCAAACATGACAGTATGTAACGTAAAGGCTACCTACGATTACGATTTACTTCCGTGTTCGGTGTCAAATAGATACTTGAATAATTGAATTGTTTATGGTCATATAGTTAAAGCGGTTAGGTGACTAAGACAATTGAAGTGTTTGTTTCCGGTTGTTTCCCGCCATATTTTACAGTATAAAAGGGGGCCAAACACCGTATTTCTGACTCTTGTTCTGACCGTAGAAGCTGACGGAACTAATTAGCCAGCGGTATTTGATACGGTAGGTGTGTTTTGTATAGCGTTTGGAGATCGTGTACGAAGATAGTTGTGCAGATGAGCAGTGCTGAGGGATAGGGCTGAAATAGTGCCTTGTACTCGGCCAGTATCTCTGTTACACGCGTCACGACTAATTGCTACGCTGGTTATATACATACACACGGAAACTCACCTGATCACTGGGATTTTGCTCGTCCATTGTGCAGTGACACCGCGGGCGTGATAGCAATGTAGGTTCGTTGAGTAGTGTGAGTTGGTATGACAGTTAGAGTTGCGCCCCTTTGTACAGTTGTCAGTCGCCTGCTCATTGTTTACGTTAAATATGGCTGTATGTAGGTAGGTACAGTGGGCAACTGAGCGTGTTGTACATCTCATTGTAAATAGCGCAGTGAGTGGTGAGGATTACTGCTCATTGTATATTTCTGTATGTAAGTTACTAAATTCCTTATACCCGGTATGTCAAATCTTGTGTTCATAGTATATATAGACAAATAGTCAAGACATTTACAACAGGTAATGTTAAATTGTTGTGTAAGCTAGGCAGCTCATTTGTTGGTAATATATACTGTAGGGTAACTTTGTATATTTAAAGGTTATTAGGCGTAACTCTGAGCTCGGATAAGCTCGCTCATATTTGTATATATTTGTACTTAAGGTGTTATGCTAGGTTATAGATACAATGTTTATATACTGTGTACTCAAATACAGTGATTCCGGGAAATAACTCGGTACGAACACCCCCTACACGTTACAAGTACATACGAGTAAAAGAGTTCTTCTAACTATGTATATGGCGGGTGCCGTCGATGGCTTTTCTTCATGTACTTTTAAAAAATCTTTCTGTTGTTCATATTTTGACCTCGTTCTATTAACTTTGGGGTTAAGAGTATGGTTGACATGCTGTCATCATCTTGGATATTTACTCTGCCCTATTCCAAGAAAATACTATGTAACGTCGGTGATGATCAAAGGCTCAAACCGTCTTGTTCATTTCATTAAAATCTGCATTCATAACAGATATAGCTATAGTAAATACGGTTTTGTATAATACACATTGTTGGGTGTACGATGGTTATTTTTTAACGATATTCCCATCGCCCTATAGAGTAACACATTTATTGTTAAACGTTGTACGCTTCTACCTCTGTGTAGTCCGTGACTTTTGGAAACCTGACTGCCGCATCTTTGTTGTTATTTAAATATAAACTTTTTTCACCAACTAAGAAAGAAACATGCATTAAGCTTCTGTTAATCACTCTTGGTGTCCCGGATGGAGGCGCACGAGGGGTTTTGCTGTAGAAGGAAACCGGACTACCCGGGGAAAACCTACGTGGTCAGGCGGGTGACCCCATACCTTTTCACGTCGCCTAGGTGAAAAGTGAGTGTGCTACGACTGCGCAATCCTATCACTCAAGTTGTTAATTGAAAGTGGGAATTTTCCTAATCTTGAAGATATAAATACTAGAGAAATTAGAGAAAATTATAATGAAATCTATATCGTGTATCGTGTGTATCGTTTCTTCAAGCTTTTGAAATAACCATAAAAACTTTTTGGTAATAGTATATTGCTTACCTCGAATATTTCTTGGTCCGTAACGTTGAAGAAGAATTGAAATGATTGTGATGAACTTTTACCTGGGAAGGTCAAAGTCACATTCATTTCATGGATTGAATTTGCTTCCGCGATGTCAGGGAGCACAACAACGGCCAATGTTACACCAAATCTGTTTGCCACTTCTTTTCCTGTAGTGTAGGGTATGTTTGAGATATTGAAACCACATTGATGATCACCTTTAATACATGCAAATGGAAAAATACATGGTAGATTTGATCCCACCACTGTAGATTCTATCTGCGTGACCATCATTCCGCCACTTCCTGGTCCAGCATACTGCCGTATTGATGTGTTCAGTTTGTATAACCCGGATGTAAACGGCGGAACCTCCCAAATCAACGTCACACTTCCTGATCCACTTTTAGGTAATGACGGAGACTTCTGAGTCGTCCTAACGAGTATATCCGTAAGCTGAAAACAGTAATCATACAGTCAAACCTGTCTACAAAGACTAGTCGAGGAATCAGATATATAGTTATCATTCAGTCAAACCTGTCTATAAAGGTCACTATATGAGCGCACAGATATAGGTTCAATACACTCAAACCCGTCTGTAAAGACCAGTCGAGGAAGCAGAGACATAGTTATCATACAGTCAAACCTGTCTGCAAAGACTAGTCGAGGAATCAGATATATAGTTATCATTCAGTCAAACCTGTCTATAAAGGTCACTATAGACCATTCAAACCCGTCTGTAAAGAAGCAGAGTAACATTATTCGTACAGTTAACCCTGACTATAAAGGTAACTCAAGAGAGCAAATATACCAAATTCATACTCAAACTGCGTTCCGTATACTTACCGTTCATCAGTTGTCCCTATCATGCGTTTCAATTGTTTATTTCACATAGAACGTTAAACCCGGAACGATTTTGCAGTTGTGTTTATTTGAAGGTATCAAGTCCGGATTCAAGAATATTTTTGGAGTTACTCCATCACCTGTCATCATCAGACATCGTAGTTTCTGTGAAACCTTTGTACGTTATAAATGATTGTTTATATTTTATCGAATTATGGTAATCAGTCACCTTCCTATCAGTCACCTTCCTATCAAATTTTGATAGGAAGGTGACTATTACCATAATTTTTTTAAAAATCATTAACATTAATATGTGATAAAACGAAAGATAAAACCTTGTATACTTACAGGTATTAGTTCGGTAGCCTTGAAATATTTTGTAGTGAAGTTTGTTACCAGAAAATCCACTTCCAATCTTACATCAAGAGAGTACATTTGGCCTGGAGTCGCCTGATCAGTCATCACCAGGATAACTTCCATTGTTACAGTATCAGCAGATATGGTAGTAGGTCCGTAAGCTCCTGAAACGAAAGTATCACCCATGAATGAAATTAATCTCACAATTATAAACAAAAATATAAACCCTGACTGAAATTAATCTCACGATTACAAATAAAAATATCAACCCTAAATGAAATTCATATCACGATTAGAAACAAAGTTTCAACCTTGACTGAAATTCAGCTCACGATTTCTAAACAACACGATTATATATAAAAAATCAACTCGGACTGAAATGCATTACTTTGTTAACTCTCCGTACGCAGCTGGGTAAATTCCTTATCATGTTAACCCACCTTAAATAGCTGGGTAAATTCAATATCATATTAACCCTCCATAAATAGCTGGGTAAATTCAATATCATGTTAACCCTCCGTAAATAGCTGGGTAAATTCAATATCATGTTAACTCTCCGTAAATAGTTGGGTAAATTCAATATCATATTAACCCTCCGTAAATAGCTCGGTAAATTCAATATCATGTTAACCCTCCGTAAATAGCTGGGTAAATTCAATATCATGTTAACCCTCCGTAAATAGCTCGGTAAATTCAATATCATGTTAACCCTCCGTAAATAGCTGGGTAAATTCAATATCATGGTAACCCTCCGTAAATAGTTGGGTAAATTCCTTATCATATTAACCCTTCGTAAATAGCTGCGTAAATTCAATATCATGTTAACCCTTCGTAAATAGCTGGGTAAATTCAATATCATGTTAACCCTCCGTAAATAGCTGGGTAAATTCAATATCATGTTAACCCTCCGTAAATAGCTGGGTAAATTCAATATCATGTTAACCCTCCGTAAATAGTTGGGTAAATTCATCATCGTGTTAACCCTCCGTCTATCGACCAAGGAGGATACACATGACAAAGCATACCAAGTCGTATAGCATGCTACATATCTGGAATATTTTGATTTTCGGAACACCTCTAACTTTACCGCTTCGATGCTTATTGGTAACCAGACGATATGGTTCTTTGCTGGCGTGATAAAAAACATGGCATTGATGATCTCATCAACGTACTATGATTGTACAGTATCCTAGTTTTATACAGTTTTCTATTTACCTTTGTTAGGCAAGTAACCAAAATGAAGAGTTCGAGTGTCTGGGCCGTCCAAGCAAAACAATCCGTCATCCGGACTAGGACCTGTCTTGATCGGTATGAAATCTATGAAGTGCTCCCCTACAGACTGTACACGAACTGAAGCAATTCTGAGGTGTGCATCCGGACTCTGTAACACCAGATCGTATGTGGATAACGGATTTCTAAACATTGCATCTAGAGAAAATGATTTTACACTACCTGCTGTAAAATCCACCAAATCTGGAATATCTGTGAGTAAGTTGACGTTGTTTGTAGTATTCTGAAATAGACGAAAGTTGAAGTCAATAAACATTTTATGTTCTGGCGATATATATTTCCTAGATTAAATAGTGTAATTCTACAAACGTATTTTAGGGTAAAGATATTCAATGGAGGTAGACTGGTATATTGTTGAGATAAATATTCTTTACCTAAAACGTCTTCTGCTTCATGTCATGTTCTCAGATGAGAATAAAGTATACAACAGTGGACCCAACAGGCAAACTAACGAGCATCAAACACGTTCAGCTTTATATCACACAAAGAATTTGTTTCCGATGTTGGTAACTTTGACTTTCAGATAACCTAAATATGCATGTCTTAACATGGATAGGGATTGTCTCATGCACAATGTCTTCATCTGAATTATCATTATTATTATATTCAGGATATACTCTCTGGGACACCGGATTTGTTACCATAATTCCTGTCGTTGTTTAGAGCGGAAATCCCTAAATAAGCCACCACTAATTTCGTCTAATACACAGCAGCAACTTAAGGTGTTATCTCGACATGTTTAAGACTTACGTGAATAGTTCTCAACACAAACGTTGGTAGCACTTCCATAGTTTCGTTATCTGAGATGAAAGCTATATTGACCATGCTTGTGTCACCATCAGAGACTCCTTGTATGTCGAACATCAGATACTCTACAGCTAACTTCACTAGACAGTAGGCACACGGATTAATATCGCAGTTCATGTCTCCAAATATGTACACCGCATTAGTAACAACGCTGACTGACTTTAAAAGGAGAAGAAACTGATGAGTGATTAGCATTAGAGAAAACAGCAAAAAATATCAACATGTCAACATAATCATAATCCGAACTCAAATTCAATTAAATGAACAAAATAATTTTTTATACGTAGACTCATGGAAAAGTAAAACGAGAATGACATCACGTGTTCCGGAAAAGTAAGCATCTTCTGCTTGAACGTCGACACCCGCCATGTTAACTTTGGTATACATTTACATTGAATATTTTTATTGGACGATCATATTCTTTCTTAGGCATGTATATATTAATGATTCGGTGAATGAGATCCAGTAATTTCTAAGATGTGACGTGTCCACTTCTGAGAATGATTAATATAATGATATATAATGATGAATATCGACCCAAATTGTATCGCGAATGATACTGAAATATGGACACGATGATCTTGTACTTTGTAATCTCAACATGAAATGTCAACAAAGGATAGATCTATCTGGATACCATTGTAAAAGTGAAAGGAAAATAAGACCAGGTGTTCCAGAAGACTTACTCTTGACGACTACATTTTCACTGTGCAATCTACTAAGACTGTACAAAAGACAAGTGAATATCACATATTAATATACATTTAGAGTTTGATATACTAGAGCCAAACAATAAATTAAACTGTAACATACTAGCCTAAATGTTAAACTTAAACACTTGAGCATAGCAGACGACTGAAGAAAATTTCTAACTAGAATTTAATCAAACCGGGAAAAATCTGCACAAAAGAAAGTTACCCCTGAAAACAACACGTGTTCCAGAAAGGTAAACATCTTTTGCTTTATTGACAACACCCCAATATAAATCTGGGTTTTCTGAAGTTACTTACCTTCCCTGATGTTGTTTCAGGTTTGTACATCAGGGATGTTTTTGTCATCGTTAACACGCCATCTTGGAATGCCAGGTATGCTTTTGATATTATCACAGAACGGTCGGCCGGTGCAGTGATACTGATTGATGCCGTCCTCGTCAGTCCATTTGGAATGTACAACTCCTGAATCAGAGTTTTTATTACCCCTGGATAGATGTCGCTGTCTCCGTCTTCGGTACATAAGACATATTGCGGATAATTCGATACACCTTTGGTCACACATCTTTCCGAGTTGAAATCTTGAGACCCTGTGTGCAAGCGGAATACATTTCATTAAATAGAGTAAAAAAATTGGGTTATGGTAAACATCCATCTCGAATACATCTGAATCTTTGTAGTAAACACACACGACTAATGGTCTGGATTTCTCAAGCACAGCCTGCTTCCCTCAGAGCTTCAAGAGAATATCACAATTTAATAGGGGATGTTTTGTTTTTATGAGATTTTTCATCCTCACAACAACCAGGGTCATATGCGGACGAGTATCAAGGGATACATCCTACAACCAGATCATATGAAGACGGTTGTCAAGAGGGAAAGCTAGAATTATATAAGGACAAATGTGGAGAGGGACACAATAATTCAGTGTCATATGAGCACAATTTTTTTAGTCTATTTTAAGTATATTGTGATCGCATTGGATGTTATGTTAGCATATTGTATGTATTCTGTTCGCGGGTGTCTTGTTAGTCTATTGTCAGTATACTGTGACCGAGTGGGGTGTCATGTTAGTCTGTTGTTAGTATACATGTGACCGGATGGGGTG